TCATGACCAAGTTCTAGGGGTTCCTGGCTTTTCATACCATGGTGTTTGAAGTTTTAGGAGATCTCGAGTTTGTAGTGTTTTGAGGGATTGTCTTTAAAATGTTTCCCATAGACGACACCAATTGTTGATGCTCGGTTTGGCGAGGGCAACAAAGTAATTTCACTCCCAAGCCTCAAGGGAAGGCCAAAGGCTTTGAGGCTCCCAAGGAGTTAAGCCGAGGCTGAGGACTGGAAGCCGAGGCATATCGCTCCTTGGGATACTGTAGAAGCCGAGGGCTTATACCAAGAAGGGTGTACGAGGGAGGACTAGGCGTGGTTCCCCCAGTTATGAACTTGTAAGGGAGAAGGTGTCAGAGGCCTTATGTGGTTACCAAAGGTGAGGACTCTGACGATCAAGTTAATATGTGCACGAGGTAAGTGATGAGTTTGGAGCCAAGGGGTCCAGATGAAGTCTCAGATAGCGCTAAGTCCTTAGTGGAGAGAGCACTAGAGATGACAAAGATTTCGAGTCGAATCCCTTACCTTGTGGGGGGTGCCTTGCATTTATAGCTTGAGATGCCAGGGGGTAGTTAGGCTCAAATGGTCCAGATGCGAGCCGTATGAGGGGCTGGTGAGATGTTCTGCCAGTGCCATGTGGTGCCCTACGACTAGGTCCACCTGGTCCGTGTCAGGTAACCCTGAGCGTTCTCATGGTAAGCCTATGCGGGCGTCCTCCATTCGACACGTATCAGCCTTGTACAGGCCAGCTGAATGTGCCTACATCAGCTCCCATTGCTTTAAACGAGAAAAAAACATCCTTATAGCTTATAGCAGCATGAAACATCAAATAGGTGGAACTTCACATAGTCTTACAATCAAGAATCAACTTCTTCATAAGTATGATTTTTAATTAACGAGCTGTCTCATCAACCTTTTCTTGTCTTTTTGGTGTTGTTGACCAAAAAGTAACACTATCATATATCCTTTCAATAACCTCACTAATCACCTCCAAACCATCTTTCACAATCATATTTAAAATGTGAGCACAAGACCACATATACAATAATTTTCCATCTAACCACAATGAATCACTAGAAAGCTTTTCCAGAAAGATATTCACCATTGCATCATTAAGAAAACAATTATTTAGTGTTATAGGGGAAAGGTTTCTATCAATGTTCCAGTCCATTAATGTATCAAAAAGATTCTTACAGAGTATCTCAAAAGTATGTGGACAAGGCACATAGAGAAACCTAAATAAAACATTTTAAATAATCACAAATTTTCACTATCATTTTTCACAAAGAAACTAGCTTCAATCAAAATAAATCATTAGTGATAATTTTCTAGAAATAGAAATACACTAACAATGTAAATAATAATTTAATAAAAAATATTTAATTCATAATAGAAGTCCACATGTTGGTTGTGATGGAAATTCTACCCATATTCTTTTCCAACAATTTCATGGTTTAAGATTTTTGATAATCATAAATGCTAAAAGATATCCTTCTTGATTGAATTCCAAGAAACCACCTTAAACAATGATTGTAGAAAACTTGTGAATCTTTGAAACCCATGATGTTCTACCATTGACAATGGGTACTCATGCAAAATGATCATGTTGGTGTGATCTCTTGAAGTGTTTTGATCAAAAGTATATGTTTCTAATGCATTTTGTCCGTCATTATTATTCTTAGATCTTAAAAATGATTACTTTATACCCACTTAATTCTTTTATGGGCAACTTTTTAAGTGATCATGCAAGTGTGCGTTCCCATTTTTGGTTTCTCCTCTAAGTTTTTTATTACAATTGATTCACATTACTTTCTATTTATCTTAAACCTTTTGTCTCAATGCCTTTGTAAGCCTTGATTCCTCTTTAGTTGGACTTGAACAATTTGGTCCAGTTGTATTTGAATCAACTAGTGTTAGTGACTCGTTTAATGGAGGATGATTCAAATATTGACTTTGGCTTTCTAGCGGAGAACTCATTTTTACCTAAAAAGATTAAAAAGAATAGATAATACAATAGGCTCAAGCAACAACCAAATTTAAAAATTTAGATAAATTTAAAAAAATTAAATAAATAAAAAATAAATAAATAAAGGTAAAACTATATTCTAATTATTTGGAATCTTTGCTTTGCCATTTACTATTGGAAATGTTATTAGTAAGAAGGGAAAACGATTATCAAAAAAGACAAATCCATACATTAGGAGTTACCTTTTATTTTTCCTACATTGAAAAGTTTTAATGGAAAAATTAAATATGATGTTCTCTGATACCAAAAAAATTGAAGAAAAGTAAAATCACATGTCTTTTAGATTGTTACACCAAAATAAGTTTTCTCTCATAATTGTAGCAGAATACAATAATTAGCCATATCAATAATTAGGTATGCAAATGGTTCCCAATTTCACATTTAATTTGATTGAACTAGATTTGAATACCCGTTTTGATTATATAAGCATATAAAAAATATGGTAACAATAACATACATGCAAGTTAATTGAAGCCTAACATAGTAACATGACTGATGGGACTACTAGGATGTTTACTTTTCAGAAGTTAAAAGAGAGATTGTGAGAGTTGTTTGATTTTTGTGAGATGGTGGGTTTGAACAGACAGAGTTGTAGTCACCCAGATTTTGTGAGATGGTGGGTTTGAATGGATAGAGTTGTTTGATTTTGTGAGAGTTGTTTGAATTGTAACATAGTAATGAGTAGTGAGGGTTTTACTTTTTTGATAAAGACAAAAGATTACAGAGTTGCAAAACCCAGATTTCAAAACAATAGAATGACCTTAACAAATAAAACCAAAACTAAAAGTTGTTTTTGCAGAAGTATATGGACAATGACAATAGATAGATTCAGGTCCACTGATGTTGAACAAAAAACTATTTTAATGGAAAAAAGAATAGAATAATATTAAAAAAGAAAAAATTGAAAGAGAAAGAATAAAATCAAAAGCCCATACCTGTTCCTCCTTCCTTTGATTTTGTCTAATAGTGATATTCGTATTTCTTCAATCTCCTCATTGACATGGCTATAATTTTGTGAATAACAATATATTAATATCTTACAATCTAGTCCAATGTGGTGTACTGGTGTAGAAGAAAAAGAGTTAACCTATACTTGTTTGGGGTTGGGGTCAGTGAGAGAAACTGAAACATACTATAGCAGGTAGGGTAAAACTAAAAGTATTAATATAAGGGTAATTTTGTAATTTTATTAATGGGATACCCATGGGGTGGGGATTGAGGACCCTGTGGGGTAAGGAGTTCTATCCGCATCCCCGCCCCATCCCTGCCAGATGAAAATTTCCTCATCCCTATTCCTATGAGGAAAAAATCATCCCCATCCTTGCCCCATTTGGGGTGGATACCCACAAGAATCAGGAAAATGAGAAAATTTCCATCCCTAATAGTCATATGATACAGTTGAGTAGTAACATTCTTAGACACTTTGAATAGTGAAATACAAGTCCCCTTACAAGCTATGGTGGCATAAGAAATGGGATTAACAGTGTTCTTCAAAATCTAATATAGAGCCAAGAGATCGCAAGGGATAAGAAAAAGGTCCCCAAGAAGATGAGGTCATATTTGAAGAAATTTATAAGATTATTGTGGTTCCAACAGATTTTCATGATGATGATCCCATAAAAATCAAGAAATAGAAACACAAGGTGTCAATGAAGGTGGATTACCAAATTAAAGGCTAAAATTTGTTCAGCGCCCATTGTGAAGGAAAGTAGCTTTGATGATATGGTGATTGGAATTAGTTGAAAGATGTAAGACGTTTTCAATTGATCTTGTTAATTTTGATTATAAATTGTTTCCGAAGTGAGACAATTCACGAATATTGGATATACAACCACCCCTGCGAAGAAAGTCAGTCACAATGGTGCGGATTCAGTTAAAACTTTACATTTAAGGAAAACAATGATTCAAATAAAAAATGGGTGATAGTGGAGAAAAAGAATATGATGTACAAGGAGGTCAAAGAGATGGTTCGTGTAGAAATATTGTTTGAAGATCCTCAAGAATAAATTAAGGTTGTTACACTGCTATTGTTCTTCAAGTTTGTTTTGTTTTGGATATATGCATTGTGTCAAGATCATTTTGCTCCTTGTATAGTTTTTGAGGGTCAAAGTTTCATGTCCCCCTTTATTTTATGATCATTAATAAGGATTTTCGTTTTTCTAAATGAAAGGATATTTACAGAATAAGTGGGGTGAAAATGAGGATACACATGGTGTGGATTCATGACGTATCATTGTTAATCAAGTCTACCACCTTAAAATCCATGTTATGGATCATTCAGGCTGACGGTATGAATCAAGTTGTGTGTGAAAAGCTTAGTTTATGCTCTTTAAATAATTTCTGAAGAGTTATGAAGAAGAGGAATGTGCTGGTTTAGAGAAAGTCGTATTGAATAGTCATAATTTCAAACATTGTGACTGTTTAAAAAAGTAGTTAAAAATTAATGACTGTTAACTTTGAATTGCGACTCTTGACTACACTTGATCAAATTGTGGTCATTGATCACATCAATGGTTAACATTGCACCAAAAAGCGCCTCATTGCATCGCACACACATATGCGTACGTGTTGCGCGGTAGCAAGCCTCCATACTCTCATCTTCAATATCTAAGGAGTGTAAATCAACTCCTATTAAAAAACTCAAATTAAATTTTGTAATTTTCTAATGTAGGCGAAGTCAAAAAGGTTTTAGTAAGAGAACAACTATTTTTCAAAATGTGTGCAGGTGTGTTTTGTCATGCAATTGACCAATCAAATTCCATTAGAAATCCAACAACTTCCACTTGCAACTTGCAACTCTCCCAGCACCATCCCCATTCCCATTCCCAAAACCATAGCCAGAACCACTACCAGACCTAGATCCATACCAGAACCACCTCCGATGACTCCACCACCACCACTCCAACTTGCAACTCTCCTAGCACCATATCCGCTTCCACTCCTAGATCCATAACCAGAACCATAGCCAAAATCACTACCTATCCCAGATCCATATCCAAATCCACCTCCGCCACCTCCACCCCACCACTTCCGCTTGCAACTCTCCCTACACCACATCCACCCTCACTTCCAGAGCCATAGCTGGAACCATAACCACTACCATTTATGGATCCACACCCAAAGCCTTTTCCTCCACCACTTCCACTTCCACTTCCATAACCACTAGGTGTATATAACCCTGAACCATTTCCACTCCCAGAACCATAACCAAAACCACTACTTGATCCGGATCCATGTCTGGACCCACCTCCACCTTCACCACCACTTCCATATCCTACCCCTTGTGCCCTAGCCCATCTTCATTCCTATAACCATAACCCAATCCACTACCTGATCCGGATCCATATCCAGAGCCGATGCCTCCACTTTCACCTCTACCTCTACCTCTACCTCCATCTCCACCACCCCCACCTTCCATATCCTACCCCTTGTGCCCCAGCCCCTCCATACCCGGAACTAGATCTAGAGCCAGAGCCAATGCCAGTGCCACCCCCACCCCCACCACTAGCATAGAATCTGGAAGCAAAGGAGAGACCAACGCCGAGTAAAACGATGAATGCAAGGGCTACCACTTTGGTTTTAGCCATCTTGTACGTAATTACATACAAGCGACTCAACAAATCAAATCAAAGACAAGCTAAATAACTATTGATACGAAGATATTGTGATTGTGTCATTGTGATGCCAGAAATGTTCGTAAGGCTGTGTTTAGTTACGGTGCAATTTTATTTGTATTAATACAAATGCATGGGAGTGCAAATGTAAAATTGCAAATTCTTACTTAATTTTATTTTTTTAATTTATTTCATTTCTACTGCAACCCAACAAAATAAGTTAAAAATTGACATAAAAATAGATCAGAATTTACACAAAAAGCATTTTATTTGCATTGCAAAGTGTCGCTATTTAAAAGCAGCCTTGCGAAAGATGTTACGAGATTGCCGGATTGTTTATTACTTTCCTGCTTGTTGCAGTATTGCCAGCTCCTATGCGTGCATTGGGGACAGTTTCTATGCCTTGGCTTTGTTATTCTCGACTACAAAGTCAATCAAACTTCATTAAACGAATTGAAGTCAAATTTCAATACTGTCACCATGAGATTCGCCGCTTCCCTCGTACACATTGCATGCACGGACACCGATTCACCAACTTACCGTATTAAAATGGACTTCTGAAAATTTCTTCCTTGTAATTTATCAATTTCCTATTCTTCCTGGTTACTACAAATCGATTGGCCATGACTTTAGCTTCTGGTGGCTGGTGCTGTGTTTTACGTCGCCATGATCGTGTAACATAGCTTAAGTTCTGCTGTGTTCCTTTTCTTGTGTAGAACTCCAGAAAGCGTGTGGCTGTGTACTCCCAGTCCCAGCTCGGTCATTTTATTGCTTTTCCTTGTTTCTTGAAATTAATGGCTGGCTTGCATATTGATCATTGACCTATTCCATTCCCTAATCGAAATCTTTGACTGAAGTTTACTATAAAATCATGAAATCTATAAGTCTATAAACATTCATAGGAGAAGAAAGATTGTTTACAACTCGGCTTATTCTCAAACTTTAGATTTGGCTGACTCCATTAAGCTGAACTCAAAAAGAGTTTTAAACCTCAATTACTTGACATGTAATATACTCCGTATAGAGGCGTGTATGAATTTTAGCACTTCCGTTTGTATTTGATTTGATTGAGAATAAGAGAAATTAATGGAGAAAGTTGTTAAAGAATTTCCCAATTTATTTTAAACTTTCCAATAATTTTCTATTTGTCTCTTATTTTATATCAATTCAAAATAACCTTCATCCCATCTAAAAAGACATATTGGATTGGATCAATTCGGTCCAAAATATTTATTAGATTAGATTGGATCTGATCCGTGTATAATAAATTTATATTGAATTGAGTTGGATTAAACCAATATCTAATCCATTGATATACGATAAGAATGTATCTAATCCATTGGACCGCATCAGATTGGATCAAATCCAGTCCAACTGACACCCTGTGTCCAACTAGTGAAGTCTGAAAAAAGGGTCATGTTTCGGGGAAGGATTGTGGATCGGATCGGGTTAATGGTCGAATCGGGTTCAGGAAGTACTGCATATTATATACTTTTTTGACAAGACTGCATATTATATACTTGGGTCATGTTTCGAGCAAGAGAATTGGAGAGCCGGGTTTGGGTGAAGATAAACCTGAACCTTAATCCCTATCTACTTTAAGACTCCAGGAAACCCACTTACACTACTCTCACCAGTTCGGCCTTTACTAATCCTTTCTCACATGAAATAGTTGATTTGGAGAATGATCATTGACTTGAACACTAGCTTACTAGCACTAATTGACCTACCAAACCTCCAACACTTGCAACCCTATTTACACTAATCTCCTATGTTTGCAGATCCCGAAGTTTATTTATTTATATATTGTTGGTTGTCACATGAAACTACATGAAATCTAAGCCAGAGATATTTATCCAAATGTTGAAAAATTGTACCCTAAGGTTTCAGATATTCATAAGATATAAGTTAATATAAAATCTCGATTGGATAAAAGATCATGGGTTTAGAATTCAATTCGTCAACTTCTGACTTTTCTAGCCAATGTTGTCCGATTCGAGGTAGCACGAATAGAGGATGCAGTCAAATGATTATGCCAGATGGATGAGATCAAGGTGAAGGATGAAGGTGTGCATCGAAGTAATCTACAAGCACAAGGAGAGTTATGAAGGAAGGTGAGATCTATTATATGGATGGCCGAATCATGCTGAATGGTTGGGTAAAATTTCAAAAAATTCTTTTAGCTTCCGAGAATCACATTCTCTAGTTTCAGAAAAACTGCATTTTTCTAGGATCGTTCTTGCATCAAAACTATATCAGATTTGAAACCAAAAGGAGGGAGATGTATACCTAATACGGATTCTAAAGATGTAGCTCCCAAAGTGGTAGTTCACACCCAAATTGAATTCCAAAACCAACTTCTACTGAAAATGGTGCAGCTTGGAGTGAAGTTGGTTCAGCAATGCAATTTTCAGCAAAACTGCAATCCAATAGCTTGGATCGAACAAGGGAGATGAGAACAGTTTTTCTCTGCAATTTTCTTGCAAAATTCAGAGAGAGAATTGATCAAGATCTGTCCAAAAGGTGGAGGTCGAACTAGGGTTTCTGGGGCGACAAGAGCAGAAGAGAGAAAGTGAAAGTAGAATGATCTGAAGAAGTTTGATCTCTCTTTTCTTAATCCTTAAGAAGCACCACTCCTAATCAAATTAGGAGGTTTGTAATCCAAATTTTTATTTGGATTTAGAATCTATCAGTGGATAGGTCTTACCTTCTTAAGAGAATGGGTGCTCTAAACCCATATTCACCCAAGTCACATGATAGCTTAAGCAGTCATGTGACCACTTGATTAATCATATTAATCATGGGCTTTAGGCCCATTAACTAAGTGGCTCACATCCCAAAAGAGTTTCTGAACCATTTAGGTTCAATTTATATGGCATGAGACCCCAATAATGACCTCACATAAGCCCATATGGGTTCGACCCAGCCTTTGTGAAAAGGCCTGGCCGAATTCACTGATACGTGTAGTGAACCCCTGAGTCCATCACTATGGGCTCAAAATGAGCCCAACATTTACAATTTAATGATCCCTGAGTCCAGCCATCCTATGAAGGCCCAAGAATAATGGACTTAAGTAAGATATAGCCCATTAGGTAAACAACCCTTAATGGTCTCTTACACTTAACCTCTCAGCTCATAATGATCAAACACTACCCAAGAGGGAAGGACCTCTCCCCTAACTTCAAGGTGCAGTGTTGCACTCTCTACTCGGATAGGTCCCGGGAATTAAAACCTTTTGCAAACAATTTTCTTTAAACAATATATATATATATATATATCATATAAATATATTTTGCAAAAAAAAAATATCAAACACGGTTGAAATCGACTACCAACAGTTTTGGTTTCCATCAGAAAGAGTGTAGTCCCAATCATTCACTTTATCCGACAAAGGAACTGATCCTATCACTATATATGATCATCTACTAAAGTGAATTCTCAAATTGCCCCAACATACCCGGGTTTTGATCCCCAAAGTATCTCACTAATTGGCATATCAATGATAACCTGATCTGACACCTAGTATAGTACCATGATCAAGTCTAGGGGTTATGTGTAATTTTCCAGTTTTTCCCATTAATCTCCAAGGTCTAGGGCATAACTAGAAAATGGTCCAAGTTCAATGCTTCAAACAAACACACACTACATGTGCTTTGGGTCTAACCCTAGTAACTGAAACAAGTTGCCCCAACTTCTTTGGCTGCACATTAGTGTCAGCCTTCGTAAGATAAATTCCCCAAGTCTATCCAACGACCGAGAACATTCTAAACTAACATGAGTCTCTTAAGTGTCCAATTTAAGGGGTAATTACACATAAACAAACCAATGATAACATGAAATAATTATGTACTTTTATTCATTTACAATAAATGTATATGTACATCAATTTGATTTGAGCTAAGGGCATACGCTGTCTAACAAGTTAGAGGCCTGAGGAGTTATTCCCCGAGTCGGCACTCCGATGCTCAATTTAGTAATAGAGAGGGAGGTCGGTCGGGATGAATTGAAGAGAGCAAGTTCGTCAGGACCAAGGTGAATGCAATGAGTACGGAAGTGAGTTGAGAGTCCCCAATACCTTACCTTAAGGGGGAGGTTCCTATATATAGTCGAATATCTATGTTGTAGTTGGATTAGGACTACGGGGTTATTGGGATGAGGTTATCTGCTAAGGTCATCAGAGGAGTCTGTTTCCATGTCCATGTAAAACTCTTCTCCTAAGTGCACTCTTTTGTCACGTGGTCATGGATGGCAGTGCTAACATAGTTCGAGGAGGGTGGCAACGAAACCTGACATGTGGCATCCTAAACTGGCTTGGGCACCACCCGAACACCACTCCCTTAATTCTGAAGTTGATGAGTGTAGTGCTCAACTGCGGCTGGATGGAAGAGTTCTTAGGTCCTTAATCGAGGAACTCTGGTTTCTTTGAGCTAGCCCAATCATGGATGGATTGGTTCATTGGCATACTAGGCGATTCAACGTTTGTATTGTCTCCATTATGGGTTGGCAGTTGTGTCATTTTATCTTCCCGAGGTCATAAGTGTGCGAAGTATGACACTTCATCTACGTTGTTGGCTTTGTTTGATCTGGGACACTGGTTGCTCCCATAAAAGGAGGGAATGGGCGAGCCATTTTACTTTGTCATTTTGAGAGTGTTTGTGCCTTGGAGTTTAGTTGATGTCTTGGATTGTTTTACTTTCTTGGTTTTTCAAGTGATCCAAATTTTTTTTTCCTCCGTTAGATTTCTTTGACCTCGTTTTTTCTTTCTTCTCTATTTTCACCTTACACCTTATGGGGTGCGAGCGAGGGCAGTCCTCAGTATGAGGCAACCGAGGTTAGAGAACTAGAGACCAATGCCAATGTGACCGAGGTCGATGAAGGAGGTGAGGCTGAGGTTGAGAGATCTAGGGTTCGGGAGGAGGCTGGTGCCAGGGAGGCTATCGAGGCCGAGGTGGAGTAAGAAGGGCAGGTCCTTG